GTTACAAATGTTTTCACGTTGTACAAAACACACAACAAAACCCACTGGGTTCAATTTATAAATAAATAAATAAATAAAACAAACAAACACAAACAAACAAATAAATAAAATAGAAAAGCTATTTGAAAACCTACCTTCAGGTCAGGTCAATCAGTTTCTTAAATGGCCGAGGAGGCATTTTGGCCCACCTTTCTTTGTCATTTCAGTTCATCTGTGTTTGTAGTCTTTGGTGTCTGCCCAGCTTTCTCAAGGTCTTGTTGCAACACTTTGACTGGACTGTTGCAGAACCTTGATCCTTTCCTTTTCCTGCTGTTCTGTTGTAGATCAGCTGCTTTCTTTGTGTTGGTTTTTGTTGTACGGCCCAGTTTAAACTGAGCTTCAGCTGTCAGCCACATGGTCCTTTATTTAACTCTTAATAAAAACTTGGTTTAAGATGGAATTCAGGAGAGTGGCTCAGTTGGTAAAGATGTTGCCTCTCAGCAAGAAGGTTGCTGGATCAAATCTCGACCCGGGGACCTTTCTGGGTAAAGTTTGTATGTTTTCTATGTGCATGTGTGGTTGTTCTCTGGGTACTCCGGTTTCCTCCCGCAGACCAAAAACATGAATGTTGAGTAACTCTAAATAGGTGTGAGTATAAGAGTGAATGGTTGTCTCATTAGTCTCTGCCCCTGTGATGGACTTACGATCTGTCCTGGGTGTACCCCACCCCTTGCACAGTTACTGCTGTTTGGAAAGAAGCATGTCAGCTGAATTGGTGACTACAATTTTACCCAGGTCCTGTGTCAGCTGAACAGGCCCAAACCAACAACCCTCCACCACCGTGCTTTACAGCTGACAAGAGGTTTATTTAAAGAACTCAGTGAGTCACAGTGGTTTTATGTCAAAGTCTCCAGGTTTCACCTGTGGGAGGTGTGTTGCTCTGCCTCTACCATCATCCTAACAATGACTACAAGAATTTATTTGTAAGAGAAGTAGTTTTTATTTTCAGAAAGCTGTGGAATCTGTGCTTCAGTGCAGTAAAATAGTTTTGACTGCAGCTACACTTTTTCATCTGTTTGTCACAGATCTACATTTTCATTATTTATCCCCTGAAATCCCTTTTCATTTGGAATGTTAACCTGTGTTTAATTACGCTTGATTTGTTTCATGATTTGTTTTATTTTTTTAACACCAGGGGCTTGTAACTATTCTTATTATGACCCCCGCACGTGAAGCGTTAGCAGGAGTCATATTGTTTTTTTTTTTCAGTGATTTTTGGTCAACCGTAGCACAAAAACGGCTGCACCGATCAACATGAAATTTGGCAGGACAGTAGATGAGTCTGACCTACACTGCGCCAGCCATCGGTTTTACCATAGACCCCATATTTGAGGAGGGGGCTCCTTTCAAAGAATGGGTGTCTGGACATGCAAACATGCTTATAACTCAGAAACTGTTCAACATAGAAGCTTCAGATTTATTTTGTTGTTTAGCTTTGATGAGGGGCCATCCATCAGGCCCAACAATCAGTGCCCCCCACCCCCCAGACCCCCAATTTATCTGAAAAAAGGGGTGTGTGGACATGCAAAAAGGGGTATAGCTCAAAAACTATTAAACATAGGAGCTTCAGATTTTTTTTTGCTGTTTAGCTCTGATGAAGGGCCATCCATCAGGCCCACCAATCAGTGCTCCCCACCCCCTGGACCCCCCAGTTTATCTGAAAGAGGGGTGTCTGGACATGCAAAAATGGTTATTCTTCAAAAACTATTAAACATAGGAGCTTCAGATTTCTTTTGTTGTTTGATGAGGGGCTATCCATCAGGTCAACCATTCAGTGCCCCGCCCCCCCCCCGGACCACCAATTTATCTGAAAAAGTGGTATTTGGACATACTAAAATGGTTAATGCTCAAAAGCTATTAAGCATGGGAGCTTCAGATTTCCTTTGGTTGCTTAGTTCTGGTGAGGGGCAATCCATCACGTCATCCAATGA